CAGCCGGGAACGCACGCAGAAGGCGCTCTGGAAGAGGAACAGCAGCAGCAGCAGCAGCAGCAGCAGCAGCAGCAGCAGCAGCAGCAGCAGCAGCCGCAGCTGCTGCTGCTGCCTACTCAGGAGGGGGAAGAGACAGAACTGGAGTTTACGCTGCACCACAAAGAGCAGCTGCGGCAGCAAATTGAATTGCTGCAGCAGCAAAAGAGAGAGACAGAAGACGAAGCAGATAAGCAGCAAAGACAGCAGCAGCAACGCATTGCGCAGCGGCAGCTGCAGCAGCAGCAAGCTGACCTGGAGAGACACAGCAAGTTCCTGCTGCAGCAGAAGGCACTGCTGGAGCAGCAGCGATACGAAGAAGAGGAACAGCAATATGAACGGCAGCAACAGCAGCAGCAGCAGCAGCAATCCCACCACCAGCACCGACAGCATCACAAACACCGCGAAGTAGAGCAGCAACAACGCCAGCAGCAGCAGGAGCAGCAGCAGCAGCAGCACGAAGTGGAGCAGCAGCAGCGGGAGCAGCAGCAGCAGCGGGAGATAGAGCAGAAGAGACAGTGGGAACGGCAGCATCAGCTGCTGGAGCACATGCAGGTGCAGCAGCAAGTTAGTCAGAGAAGCCCTTGGGTGCTGCGGCATGGACGGAGACACTCGATGCCTGCAGCAGCAGCAGCAGCAACAGCAACAGCAGCATCAGCAACAGCAAGGGGCCGAGGTCGCGCAGGAGGCCGCGTGAGTAGGAGCGTCCAGCAGCAGCCCAGGCAGCCGCAGCCGCAGCAGCAGCAGCAGCAGCAGCAGCAACAGCGGCGACTGGGACTGCAGCAGCAGCAGGTGCTGCTGCACCAGCTGCAGCAACTGCAGCAGCAACAAAGCCGCCGCCGCTCGAGCTTCCCGCCAGACAGCCTCTCTTCCTGGTACATAGACTCTATTGCTGCTGCAGCAGCAGCAGCAGCAGCAGCAGCAGCGGGCGAGGGTGACCAGGAGGCAGCAGTAGCAGCAAACTACCTCTGTGCGCTTCCCGTCACGCCCATAGCAAGCGCTGCTGCTGCAGCAGGAGCAGCAAAAGCAGCAGCAGCAACACCTGGACGAGCAGCCTCTCATGAAGCTGCGGGCGTTCCGATTGCTGCTGCTGCGGATACAGCAGCAGCAGCAGCAGCAGCAGCATCGCAGCCTATCTCCGTCCTCGGCCACTTTATCCCGCGGGAGCAGCAACAACAGCAGCAGCAACAACAACAACAACAGCCGCAGCAGCAGCACCAGCTGCAGCAGCAGCAGCGAGGGATGGCGCTGCGGCTGCAGGCTTTGGGTAACCGCCGGTTGGGCTCCGGCGAGGCAGAGCCCAGCAGCAGCAGCAGCAGCAGCAGCAGGTGTCAGCCGGATTGCCTTCATTTGGTGCTGGAGTATAGCCCATTGGCTGCTACTGCTGCTGCTACTGGAGCAGCAGCAGCTGCTGCAGCTGCTGCTGCTCCGCATGCAGCAGCAGAAGAAGAACGACGGGTTTTGTCTTTTTGTGTGCGTCATGACTTACAAGACGCCACAGTAGTGCAGCAGCAGCTTTGTATTGATGGATCTGCACTTCGTGCTGCACTTGCTGCTGCTGCTGCTGCCGATCCTGCTGCTGCTGCTGCAGATATTGCTGCTGCTGTCGCCGCCAACCTTCCTGCTGCTGCTGCTGCTGCTCTGGCTGCTAGAGCAGCACACTTCGTACGCCGAGAGCAGCAAAGTGCTGCAGATCATGCTCCCGTGGCCTTCGTCCTTTTCAGATACTTGCAGCAGCAGCAGCAGCAACAACAGCAGCAGCAGCAGGGTGTGCAGCAGCAGGAGCAGCAGCAGCAGCAAGAGATGGAGCAGCAGGAACAGCGGCAGCAAGGGCAGCAGCAACCAGAGCTGGAGCAGCAGCAACAACAGCAGCAGCAACAGCAGCAGCAGCAGCAAGAGCTGGAGCAGCAGCGGGTGCAGGAGCAGCAACGGGATGAGTTGGCTGCAGCAGCAGAGAAGAGGTTAGAGGGGATTTTGCAGCAGCAAATGCAGGAGACAGCAGACTTGCGGCAGCAGCAGCGGCGAGAAGAGAAGCAGCTACAGAACAGGCAGCAGCTGCAGCTGATGCTGCAGCGCTACACGCTGCAGCAGCTGCAGCAGCAGCACAAACAGCATGATAGTTCGATGCAGCAGCTCTGGAGAGACCATCAGCAGCAGCAAGTGGAGTTGGTGCTGCAGCAGCGTCAAGTTATTGAGGACGTCTGGGAGGAGACGCAGGAGCAGCAGCAGCACCAGCAGCAGCAGCGCTTGCTGCTGCAGCAACAGCGCCACGAGCAGCAGCAGCAACTCTTGCTGCAGCAGCAGCGCCAGGAGCTGCAGGCAGCAGTAGCTACAGACGCGCTGCAGTACTTCGTTGTAGCTCTCCCAGTCGAGGAGTTGCTGCCTCTCCTAGTGGTGCTGGAACAGGCTGTTGCTGCTGCTGCTGCTGCTGCAGCTGCTGCTGCTGATTGTCCCCTCAACAACCCCCCCGACTGTCCCTTGCCGCTGCCTTGTCTGTCTCTTCATGAAGCAGCACGTTGGTGTCTCTTCGCGCAGCAGCATTGCAGCCAGGAGATAGGCAGCAGCAGCAGCAGCAGCAGCATTAGAGATCATCCCGCGCCACACTAAGAGGCCCAGCAGCAGCTGCAGCAGCAGCAGCAGAAGAGGACGTGCGATCAGTAGTAGTAGCAGTAGTAGTAGCAGCTGCTGCTGCTGCATCAGCAGCTGCAGCAGCATCCGGGGCATCTCCTTTTCGGCAGGGCCTCTTTTACAGCAGCAAGCAGCGCAGCAGCAGCAGCAGCAGCTTCAGCAGCTTCAGCAGCAGCAGCAGCTGCTGCCGTCTCTGTTGTTTATCTTAGCCCTATGCATTTTTGAGTGTTGTTTAAATGTTTTAATTAATCTGTATTCGTGCATCAGCGCCGTTTTGTCTTTTGCCTTCATTTGCTGCTGCTGCTGCTGCTGCTGCTGCTGCTGCCACCAGGTCCGTCTGCTGCATCGCCGTGGCTGCTGCAGCCGCTGCAGCAACAGCAGCTGCAGCAGCAGCTGCAGCAGCTACAGCAGCATTAGTAGCAGCTGCATCAGCAGCTGCAGCAAGAGCAGTAACGCCTGCATCAGCAGCTGCACCAGCAGCTGCAGCAGAAACAATAGGAACAACAGAAACTGCAGCAGCTGCTGCTGCAGCAATAGCCGCTGCAACAGCAGCAATAACAATGACAGCTGCAGCAGCAGCTTTTTTATATTTCCCTAACGAACAATGGCTGGAAGCATTTGGGTTTATTTGATTTGATGATGGTGGTTCGGGTGTATCTTCACTTCGTTGCTGCATAGACAGCCGAATAAACTGCCTTCTTCTAATGTCCCCTTTCGGGTTTAGGGTTTAGGGTTTAGGGTGTAGGGTTTAGGGTTTTAGGGTTTTAGGGTTTAGTGTTTAGCGCTGATGTTGTGGGGTCGGTGACCCGCAACTTCTGATCCCTGCATCCGCTCTGGAACCTACGGAAAGAGCAATTCATTAAGGTTTAGGGTTTAGGGTTTAGGGTTTAGGGTTTAGGGTTTAGGGTTTTAGGTGACCAGTGGTCATGGTAAGGTCACCTCAAGCGGAGGGGGGCATTTGAAGGATAAAGAGAAAGAAAAAGACTAAAAATAATAAAAATAAAAATAAAATAAAACTGAGAGAGATATATTCGTTTGTTTTAATAGCAGCAAAAACAAAGAAGAGACAGCAGCAGATGAAGACAAACAAAAAATGTGTTGAGGGGTTTCGCCGGGAGAGTAGATGCGTTCTTCTTTGTTTATTATTATCTTTTTATCTTATTTATTTAAACAATAAATATAATGCAAATAATATGCTGTTGACGTATATCTTTGGAGATAAAACAGAAATACTGCTGCTACAGCTGCTGCTACTGCTGCTGCTACTGCTGCTGCTGCTGCTGCTGTTGCTGCTGCTGCTGCTGCTGCTGCTCTAGCCGCCTGCAGCAGTGAGGTTCTGCAGATTAATTTTGTTCGAATTTAAGTTAATTGTCTTTTTCTATTTGTCTTTTATTTTTATATATTTATTTCTCTTTTTGCTGCGCTTTGTATGAGGTGTCTCCCTATACACCCCGATAATTACAACAGCTTCATATTTCTTTGTTTTGTTTGTCTTGCAGTTTGTTTGTTCTTCGTGTCCTCACTCTTGACCTAGTCTACGTCGTCATCTCACAGCCCCCTGCAGCAGCAGCAGCAGCAGCAGCAGCAACAGCAACAGCAGCAGCAACAGCAGCAGCAGCAACAGCAGCAGCAGCAGCAACAGCAGCAGCACAGCAGCAGCAGCAGCACAGCAGCAGCAGCAGCAAGGTTCGCATCTGGTGCAGCAGGATCTTCATCAGCAACAGGAAGCTGTTTAGCAGCAGCAGGAGGAGGAGCAGCAGCATTATCAGCAGCAGGTGTATTAACGTGAGAGTGTGTATAAGGACGTTGATGTATATTTGACTGCAATATAACTCATCGAATAGAAGGAAAAGATGTATTCACACCTCAATAGTGTCTCCGCATGCAGCCCCAAATGTCATGCTGCTGCAGCAGAAGATGTACAAGCCCCAGGAGATGATACACGAGTTAGCAGCAGCATGCGGCCTGAAGAGAAGCGAACGCTATGGGTCGGAGATTTAGATAAGGTGTCTGGGGTAATAGAAGAAAGTTATATAACTCATCATATGTTCTTAGAGTTTGCAGGCAGCATTAGAGCTGTACGTGTCTGTAGAGATAAGGTGTATAGACACCCCAGCTTTGCTTTCTGTGAATTCTCTTCAACTGCTGAAGCTCAATATGTTTTAATGCATATGAATGGGAAGCTAGTCCCAGGGAGACAGCATAAATATAAATTAAATTGGGCTTCATTTAATCTAACAGCTACACCCCACAGCAAGACAGTGTACAGCAAGCCTCCTCAGCTTCACAACGCTCCTTCTGCTGCTCCTGCTCCTGCTCCGCTTACTGCTCCTCCTCCTGCTGCTGCAGGTCTCCCTGCTGCAGCAGCAGCACCAGGGACGCCCGCAGCAGCAGGAACAGCAACGCCAGGTCAGATATATTTAATGCAGTAACTAAAGGAGACACACAAACAAACACTGCAGTCTCTACTATTACAAATAAACTCAGCCGAAGATCTAGGGTTTAGGGTCTAGGGTTTAGGGTTTAGGGTTTAGGGTTTAGGGTTTAGGTTATTGGGGGGATGGGGTGTTCAGGGGTTAGGGTTTTGGGTTTAGGTCTTTGGGGCTGTGGTTCAGGGTTTAGGGTTTAGGGTTTAGGGGTTTTAGTTCGGGTCAAGGGATTAGGGTTTAGGGTTTAGGGTTTAGGGTTTAGGGTTTAGTGCGTTGCCTTCAGGTGTCTCTGGTGAGGAGACAGTCTCCATTTGGGTTGGCAGCCTGGACCCGGCTACTTGCAGAGAAGAAGTAGAGGAGTTATTTAGGAGACACTATAACTCTGTGGGGCTAGTTAAACTCATTCTAGACACAAATACAGGTCCGCACTAGGCAGCAACACTTGCTGCTGCTGCTGTTGCTGCTGCTGTTGCTGCTGCTGCTGTTGTTGCTGTTGCTGTTGCTGCTGCTGCTGCTGCTGCTGTTGCTGCTGCTGGTCTCCTTTTCCTCTCAGTAGAAGTGCTCGCTTACACAAACTCACCCTCTTCGTGCATTTGTCTCCACCGCTGTCTCCTTGTCTCTGTCTCTGTCTTTCGGTTTATATCTCCATGTCGCTCTCTCTGTCTCTGTCTCTCTGTCTCTGTCACTGTCTCTGTCTCTGTCTCTGTCTCTGTCTCTCTCTGTCTCTGTCTTTGTCTTTGTCTCTCTCTCTCTCTCTATCTCTGTCTCTGTGTCTCTCTGTCTCTGTCTCTGTCTCTGTCTCTGTCTCTCTCTCTCTGTCTGTCTCTGTCTCTGTCTCTGTCTGTCTCTCTCTCTCTCTCTTTCTCTTTGTGTATCGGTCTCTGTCTCTGCTTCTGTCTCCTTTTGTCCCCTTTTGCTTTCTCTTGTCCCCTTTTGTCTCCTTTTGTCTTGCTCTGTCTCCTTTTGTGTCTCTTTTGCCTGTCTCTTTTATGTCTTGTTTATATCCCCTTGTGTGTCTGTTTGTGTCTCTTTTATATCTCGTCTTGTCTATTTTTGTCTCTCTTTTATCTCTTTTATATGTCTTTCTCTGTCTCTTTTATATCTTTTCATCGCTCTTATTTGTCTCCTTTGTCTCCTGTTGGGTGTCTTTAACCTGTCTTTCTATCTCTTTTATTTGTCTCTTTTTGTGTCTCTTTTATTTGTCTCCTTTTGTCTCTTTTAATACCTTTTAATTGTCTCCTTTTGTCTTTATGTGTTTGATTATTATATCTCTTTTGATATCTTTTAATTGTCTCCTTTTGTCTCTTGCTGCTTGTCTACTATACCTCTTTTAATCTCCTTCAATTGCTTCTTTTAATATATTTTAATTGTCTCCTTTTATCACTTGCTGTGTCTCTTTTAATATTATTAAATATCTTTTAATTGTCTCCTTTTGTCTTTATGTGTTTGATTATTATATCTCATTTGATATCTTTTACTTGTCTCCTTTTATCGCTTTCTATGTCTCTATTATATCTGTTTTAATATATCTTTAAAATTGTCTCCTTTTGTCTTTTTGTGTGTTTGATGTGTCTCCTTTTGTCTCCTTTGAAGGAAGCTGCAAAGGGTTTGGGTTTGTGCATTTTAGAGACAGTGCAGAGGCTGAGAGGGCCCTGCAAGAAATGAACGGGGCCCTCTGTCACGGTAGAAGTATTCGGGTTAACCGATCGCATAGCAGCCGTGCTGCTGCTGCTGCTGCTGCTGCTGCTGCTGCTGCTGGCCCTGCAGCAGCAGCAGCAGCAGCAGCAGCAGCAGCAGCAGGGGGAGGAGGGTCTTGGTATAATAGAACAGATGCTTCTTTGTGCTCAGCACTAGAAAAGATATTCAATGCAACAGCAAGAGAAGCGCAGCAAAGAGCAGCAGCTTGCTGCCCTTGTCCTTCTCTCAGCAAGCGTAAACGGGGTGTACATACACCTGCTGCTGCTGGTGCTGCTGCTGGTACTGCTGCTGCTGCTGAAGCAGCAGCAAGGAAGATTATCATTCGGGGCCTAGATGCACATTGTACAGAAAATGCGCTGTACAGACACTTCATCCCCTTTGGAGACATTATAGAGACACGTTTAGGTGCAGGCAGCAAGGGGACAGTTATATTTGTAGATGCAGCAGCAGCAGCAAATGCGCAGCAATGTATGGATGGGGCTGCATTAGGGACAGCTCGAATCTCAGTAGAACTTGCTTCTGCTGCTGCTGCTTCTGCTGCTGCAGAAGAAGACGGGTGCAGCAGAGGGAAACGATGGCATGGCAGCTCAGCAGCAGCAGCAGCAGCACCAGCAGCAGCAGCAGCAGCAATAGCAACAGCACCAGCAGCAGCAGAGACAGTCTCGTGGCAGGAAGATACCTCCCGTCTCAATCTTTCTTTATATCAACAGCAGCAGCAACAGCAGCAGCAGCAGCTGCTGCTCCTGCAGCAGCAATTCCTGCAGCAGCAGCAGCAGCAGGCTTTGCAGTACGCGCAGCATTATCAGCAGCAGCAAGAGGCTGCATGGAGGAGAAGGGAGACAGGAGACACCATAGAGGGTGAAGAGACAGCAGCAAAAGAAGCTAAACTGTCCGGGGGTTTGTTATTTGACACAGACCCTTGTCTTATTCCTTCTGAATTGCTATCAAGGTGCATGTACACCGCAACAGCAATAGAAATGCAGCATACAATGGAGAGACATATATATAATACTCTGCTACCTTGTCAGTTGTCTCTACCAAGGGGAAAAGGAGACACTTTTGCTGCTGTCTCCATTGAGGACGAGCTTGCTGCTGCTGGTGCTGCTCTTGCTGCAGCACTACGCAGCAAACTGCAGCAGAAGGTTCTTAAAGGCCTGCCGCTGCACCCCCCTGAATTAGAACAGCTTTATGTAGAGGAGACAGAAGTGGAGACAGCACCATTTCTCTTTTAATCAATGTGTCTCTACTTGCAAAAAGGAGACAGAGACACAAAGGAGACACCCGACCAACACCTTCTCTCTGCGTCTTAGAGGCACACAGACACAGAGACAGCTGCTGAGAGGAGCAGCAGCAATATCGGCGAAGCAGCAAATGCAATACCGGCAGAAGAGACAGCAACAAAGGGAGGACCCGCTGTTGCTGCTGCTACTGCTGCTGCTGCTGCTGTTGCTGCAGCTGTTGCCGCCGCTGTTGCTGCTATTTTGTATATTTGTTTAGCTGCTCTTGTCTGCTATTATGCTGGGGGCGATTGTCTTTGGGTGTATTCAATTAGAAAGACAGCCCCTGAAGTGTACGTACACCTGCATGCACGTGAAGAGAAGAAACTCTCTAGAGGCATGCATGCAACCAGAAGAACATGCATGCATGCATGCATGTTCTTTTGGGGCTGTTTTTCTCCTACGAGGGATAGAAGGTTTTTTAATTGCCTTTGTTTAGCCCCTCTAACACTAAACACTTTTAAAGAAAAACAAAAACTCAGCTGGTAGCTGCGAGGAGACAGCGCAGCCCCTTTAGCACATTAACTGTCTCCTAAACTGTCTCCTTCTGTCCCTCCAGGAGACAAAAGAGGAGACACAAAGACAGACGCAAACGCAGACATATCAACCACCACACGTTCAGCAGCAGGGCCCCACAAAGGGTAACGGGGGGCCCCACAGGGGACACTAGGGGGCCCCACAGGGGACCCTAGGGGGCCCCAAAGAGGGTACTGGGGGGCCTCAAAGAGGGTACTGGGATGCCCCAAAGAGGGTACTGGGGGGCCCCACAGAGGGTGTCATAGAAAGGTTAGGGTTGGTGGGGTGCATAGACAGCCAAAAGGAGACAATTTGTATGTACTTCTTTGCTGGGGGTTATTGCGAAGACAAATAAAAGGAGATAATGAAGAAAGGAAGAGGAAGAGACAGAGAAGGAGACAGAGACAGAGACAGAGACAGAGAATACGGTTGCGCATGCTGCTGCACTTGGCTCGCTCTGTGTGTCTGTGTAGCAGCTGTAGAACCTGCATGCATGCATTGCATGCATGCAGTCTGTGCATGCATGCATGCATGCATGCATTGCATGCATGCAGACTGTGCATGCATGCAGGCTTTGCGTGCATGCAGGCGTTGCATGCATGCAGACTTTGCATGCATGCAGACTTTGCATGCATGCATGCAGTGCATGCATGCAGGCTAAGGAATGAGGCGTTGTGTGGGGCTGGCAGGTTTTTCTCCTGTCGGCCTCACAACGAAATCAGCAACAGAGGCGGGTGTCCCTTGTCTTGTGGAGACAGCCTGAAGAGACAGCAAACAGAGACAGAGACAGAGAAGAGACAGAGACACATAAGGGGATGCTCGCGTTGTTTATGTCTCCCTCTCACTAAACCCTAAACCCTAAACCCTAAACTCTATACTCTAAACCCTAAAGCCTTGATATATGAAGAGAGACTGAGAATGCTGCACTGCTGCTGTTCCTTCCTCTATCTCGTTTTGTCTCTTTCTGTCTCCTCTTTATTTGTCGCCGTTTATCTATTGCTGTCTCCTTTTGTCTCTCTGTCTCCTCCTGTCTCCGTTCAACCCTAATACTGTGCTGTCTCCTTTTGTCTCTTTTTGTCTCCCTTTGCCTCTAATCGTGGTATCTGCTGTCTCCTTTTCTCTCTTTAACTGTCTCCTTCTATCTCTTTTTCTGTCTCATTTTGCCTCCTCTTTCTGTCTCCTTTTGTCTCTCCATCTGTCTCCTTTTGCCTCTTTATCTGTCTCCTTTTGTCTCTTTAACTGTCTCCTTTTGTCTCTTTAACTGTCTCATTTTGCCTCCTCTTTCTGTCTCCTTTTGTCTCTCTTTCTGTCTCCTTCTGTCTCTCTATCTGTCTCCTTTTGTCTCTCTATCTCTCTCCTTTTGTCTCTTTATCTGTCTCCTTTTGTCTCTTTATTTGTCTCCTTTTGTCTGTTTATCTGTCTCCTTT